GGAGTAAGCGGATACTCGGCCTCTGACACACCTAGCAACTTTCCAGCCGTGCCTAGTGAAATGTTTGCCTTCTCGCTCTCAGTATTTGGAAAGCCAGGAAGTCGTCACCTTTGTTAAATGGGCACATAGTCTCCTAATGAAGCTGTGCCTCCCCTCATTAACCAGATGCCCCCATCCAGCGCAGCTGCCCTGCAAGAGGTCCGGCCAGGCAGCCGCCACCGTGCGATGCCCGGCTTGGCGCAGGGCTGGCATGGGGGCAAGCAAGAGATGGAGAAGACAGGAGGCCCAGAGAAAACAACGTGAATAAGCCACCGTGGAGGAGCTGGAGTAGGTGAGAGGTGCGGGGTCATGAGCCAGGTGAAAAAAGCCCGGGGTCAGTGTGCTGACATTTTGCAGATATAAAGAACAAATTGAGCCAAGCAAATAGGACAGCATTTCTGTGAGCAAATTACAAGACCAGTAAGTGTCGGGATGGAAAGGGGTATGTGTGCAGCAGGGAGAGAGACGCCAGCCCTGTGCTGGGGCTGTAGTGCCTCTCCATGGGGCAGCTGCACCCGGGGCTGGGTCCATCCCAGGAGCTATGGGCACTGGTGCACCCCGGGGCGCTGTGCTGAGCAGCCGTGCCACGGTGTTGGTTCATGTGAGGGCTTTCCACGGGTGAAGCCCACACTGATATTTTGTGCCATGTGGGCCAGCGTGGTGGGCATCTCCCCACTGATGAGGCACAGGAGGCTGTTACAGCACCAGTGACTGGTGTTATCTGGCCATTCATGTTACACAGAAATGCTGTTATGGGGATTAAATGTTCTGCTACAGGACAGGGGATGCTGTGAGCCCCCAGGGAGGGGGTCCCCAGGGAGGGGTCCCACTGAACTGGCTCCATTCAGTGTGGATAGGAAAGAGGAGGAGGGATGGCACAGGCTTAAGTAACTTGTTCAGTCCATTTGCAAGTGATCCCGGACAGGAAAATGTTGCAAACCCCACTGAGGACAGAGCAATAATACAAAGGGACCTACAGAGAGGCAAGAAATATGAGCAGGAAACAATAAAATGAGATTCAGCTTGGAAAAATACAAGAGAATACATGTGGGGAATAATATTTAGTAACAACTTCAGTGGGAGGAAAAGAATGGGAAAGCAGTACACTGGAGGGGAAAGAAGAGCTCCACCACGACTGAAAGTGAACAGCACATGAGATATTTTGAAAGGGAGGTGCTGAGGTTAATGTGCTGAGCTGGGACCCAAACCCCAGGCATTAGGGGCCACATTTAAGCAACAGCCTTTAATTGCACCAAGCTCCACTTTCCTCTAATAAACATGGCAATGGCTGGTAACAGCTGTACGGGGGCACGCAAACCTCCCGCTAATGGGGAGGAACGGGCTTTGTCCTCTGATCATGCCCGGCTAATAGGTAAGACATTTCAAAGTGGTTCTCCACGTGTGTGCTGTGAGGGGGCCGTGTCGCTGGTGATGGTTTTGTGCTGTTCCCCTGTGTGGTTCAGTGGTTTGGGCACCATGGGTCGGCCGGGCCACCGTCTTGCTCTGAGCCAGCGCCAACAGGCACAGGCATGGCCTTGGGTCAGCGCTGTCTGAGCCCGGCAGGATTGCCTACGGCTGCCTTAGGGGCACCGCTGTGCCACCGTTCCCCTCGCAAGGACACCAGCAGTGTGTTGGTGCCTGCTATGGGCAAACCAGCGCCAGCCTGTGTGTGTTTTGCGGGCTTCTCCCCGCCGTCAGCACTGCTTACCAGGCACACCGTCTCTGGCATGGCACAGTAACGAACACTTCAGTGCCTTAAATAGGTAGCAATGTATTCAGAAACAGGCCCTGAAAAAGTACGCCATACACTTTAAACTGCAAGTGAGCGAGAACATAAATTTAAGGGGTGTAAACAGCAGGAAAAAAGAGGAATTGTTTAGAGCGGTCTGGGAAGATGGGACTGAGTAATGGGATGAAATTGAGCAAGCAAAAAGGCGTATGGCCTCTCAGGGCGGGTTTCCTGAGCCATGCGTCATCTCGCACAGAGCTGCACAACCCGCCGCAGAGAGCCCCACGGGGAGCACGCAGCCAGGGCCGCAGGGTGGGTGAAGTGACTGCAGGAGCGTTTCCATCGCTTCTTACAGCCATATAAGGCTAAAAATGTATTTACGGGCCACGCAGCAGGTTTAGAAGTGTGGCTGCGATTTTTTAATCCTCAGATTTTAGGCTCTTGCATTATAAAGAAAAGGGGAAGACCGGCACTCCTACAGAACAGACACAAGTTCATTGGTAGGACCTGAGAGCCGCGGTGCCCATCCTGGTCCCTGGCCCGAGCCCATCCCTGGGCTGCCGTGGCGCAGTGCTACACAGCAGCACTGCACCGGGGTGTTCCAGTTACCATATTGCATTTTTCCATGTTACCATATTACGTGGGACTATTCCTTCTGAGTTGCAGCCAAATAGACCCTGGGTCTCAACTAGCGCTGTAGCCTATAAAAAGTAAATAAATGCAACTTTCCTAACCACCACTTGTGCTTGCTCAGAGTTTATCAGCAACAGTTTCCACGCTCTCTATCCCTCTGCCATCCACAGCCATCACGTGCAGCAGGAAAAACCCTAGCCCGCTCAACCAAGGGAAAAAAACCTCGAAGAGAAAAAAAAAACCACAAACCATATAAAAAATAAGAGAAAAAGCTTTGACACAAACTATTGGCCTCTCCTGCTGTGAAGTGCTCATCACCTCAGCACATCTGCTCTAAGCCGTGGCTGACCCCCTCCTTCCCTGCCAGCTTTCTGTTTCCAGCCCTGCTCCTTTGCCTCCCCTGGCCGCCAGGAAGCCGTGGCATTTTGGGACGTGCTATGTGCAGACTGACCAAGCGTTCAGCCATGTAAGTTGTTGTTTTTACTGTTATTCTTTAAAAACACAGCCAAAAATCCTAACTTTGCTTTTTGCCAGGGTCTGGAGGACTAAGCTGATCAGATGTGGTCTTGTAGACAGAGGAACGTAAAGCATTAACTGAAGAAAAAAATGTAACAAAGCAAACAAAAACAAAAAGTCACACCATAAAGTATTTATTAAGAAACAAAGGGGGCTTTTTTCTTCATTTGTAAGAAACACTTTAAAGCAAGTGCTCTTTCAGAGATTTAAAAGCTGTATCAAATGGTAACATTGGTTTTACATTATTGTACATGACATCATAAAAAAAACCACTACATCTCACAAACTTCGTTTTATTACAACTCGGGTTTCTCTGCCTTCAGTTGTAAATTAATTTCTACAGACTTAAATTTAACTTACTTTTTTTTTTTTTTAACAAGTAAACAATATACAAAGAGATTCACCTGAATTTCATAGGTCAGAGGAGGTGTCCTGGCTAGGGCATGTGCAAGGCAGGCAGCGCATGCTGGAGGGGGTGAGAGCTGACTTGGTTCACAGTTGGAAAAGATCACGACCACACGGATGGGCTTGTTGTCTGGCCACGCAGTAACAGGCTGTGTCTCACTTGGGGCTAAGCACCTCCAGCTCCCGCAGAAGCCACCAGCAGCTGAAGGCATCCGAGCCCCCGTGCCTGATGCAAACCCAGCTTTGCAAGGTCAGCGTGCCCAAGCTGCAACGTGGGCAGGCAGAAAGCTAAATTCCCCACCAGACCCAAGTGCACGTTGGGTCCTTCAAAAGCCGGGCAGCACCCAGCTCTGGTGCACCTACTGCCTTTAAAGATCCCCCGAGCTGCGCGGGCAGAGCAGAGCAGTCACCCAGTGCCTCCAGCAGCCGGTCCCTGCCTTGCCAAAGCCGCCCAGCCTGGCTGGCGGGGAAGCCAGGTCTCATAAGCCAATCTTTCTGTCCAGGTCCTACGCGCTGAACGGGCGATCGCAGCCAGGAACAGCAGACCTGGGATAAATTACCTATTCATTTTCCTATGTCAGCGGGCAAACCATTTCTGCCCACTGCAGACTGCCTGTGTGTGGCATGTTTACAGGTAAACCATTGGATTTGGCAATGCTTCCGCACATATGCGTAATTTAAAAAAAACAGACATACAAAAAATAGTAGTATCACAGTTATTGCTACATACTGATACAGTATCAGACAATAAGAAACCTTTTATCAGCTCTGGTCTGGTTACAGTAATTGCCCGGTTTTGGTATATGCCCTCAGTCCTCTGTTGCGGCGTTTTGGCTGAAGAACAAACGGGTGGAAACGCAGAGACTACATTTTTTAAGAGGCCTTAAATAGTTTGTTCATCTGGGGTGATATATTACAATTAGCACGGTCTGATTATTCCCAGCACGCTGTTGCCTCTTCAACCTGGAGAGGTATTTTTTTTCCCCAGACGAAGCAAAGCAAGATGGAGCCAGCAGCTCCAGTGCAAAGTGTGTGTGTCCCCCCTCGGCATCACGCCTCCTCCCTGACCCCCGTGGCGTCACGGGGAGCTGCAAGCACCTTTGGTTGGGCCTTTTTCCTTATTTTTAAATACAGCTGTGCCTTCCTAGTCCCCTGCCCCACAGGTAAAGAAGAAAAGGGGATGGGTTTCAAACCTCTGCCAGTCCCTCCGCATCCAGGTTGGGGCGGCTTCGTGTGACACCCAACACCCCCGCCCCCACCCCCCCCCATGGAGTCGGGCTGGGGATTCAGAGTGGGCTGGCAGGGGGACAAAGCCCATTTTCCTACGGTCAGACTCGATTGCGAGCAGGGTTTGGGGCTGACAACTTTGTGCGCATTCACACGGGTTTACTGTTTCATGGGAAGTGAGGTTAAATCAGGCGTGTTTGGAGTCACAGTACGACCTTTCTCTGCAAAGGCAGTTTCAGCTCAGATGCTGCTAGCTGTACCAAAAGCTTTGCTGAGCGTCAGGAAGAGCAAGCACCTCGTACCCTGTTTTTAGTAAAAAGTTCACAAAGATAAAGTCTGTGCAAACCACTACTGGGTCCTGATCTTGAGGCAAAACCAAATCAAGAAGGGTTTCAAGTGCACCGGAAAGAAGAGCCAAATAATTCACGCTCT